TATATTGACCTTGATACCTTTGTTCAAAGTTCATTATATCTTGATGAAAACGTTCCCCATGTTCTTCTGGGCATATTCCAAGTTATCATTAAAATTATCCAAGGGATCGTATAGCATATGTACCTACTTTAAAGGACATTCTGCAACACATGAGTTTGAAGCTGTGAAGCATATCAGAAATAAGCTCTTTATAATTGTCAGTCCTTCTATTGCCAAGCAAGCCATGAACCACTGCTTTAAGGCTAAGCCACTCCTGTTTTTCGTGGGAATTCAGCAACTGTACAAATTCTTCACTGGAAATTATTTCCTTTATTTGTGGACTGATGAAAATACCAGCTTTAATTTTAGCCTCTGACAACTTCAGAAAAAATGATTTTAAATATTGAAACTCTTCATAGTCTTGACGAAGAGCCTTCTCAAACTGTTTCATGAGAACTAGTTTTGTGTGTAGTGGAGGCATTGACATGTTCGGGCTTACCAATTGGTTCACTTTTAACTCTATGTTTTCTATTTGAAACTCGCTTCGTGAGGGCCATGAGAGCTGTTGGTAGTGAAGTGCATCGGCTCTACTATCCCATAAGCAAAGATAACACGGATATTTTGTGTAACCAGGAAACCAACCATCATGAAATCCCCTATCATACTCTTCATACTTTCAAGCTTGAAGCACCATTTTAACGCCCTCGTAATTTTCTTTCAACATAACAGAATGAGCCAGAGGAAGAGATGGAAATTTATTTCTATTATGACGAAGAACTACTTTTAAGCTTCTTGTAGATCTATCGCTAAATAAAAACCATTCGGAGTGAATAAATGCGTTACGAATAAGCCTTTCTGGCAAATTCTGCCAATTTTTTTTTTGTTGTATAATGTACTAAAGCAAACTTTTTTATTTTTCGAATTAGAACATCAGAAAATATTCATTAAATAACAGAAACAGAAAAAAAAATTTTTTTTTTGATCGGTGTTATAGTTTTACAACATGACTTTCCCGCGCCTATTTGAAATTCTTATTAATGTCATGCATTGATTGGTGTTTCGTTCGACATTTTACTTCTTGATTTATAAAGGTTGGTTAAATTTTAAGGGCCGATTGGTCTGTAGGAGATATGAAAACACCAGTGCATACTCGTACTGCAGAAAATATTGCTGCTGTTCGCGATAGTGTGGCTGAAGAGCCGTCTACCTCAACTTGTCGTTGTGCCCAACAATTGCACATCTCACGCTCGTCGTTGATGAACATTATGCATAAAGAATTGCACTTACTTACTCTTGACCATTCCAAGCGTCGTCATTGGTCAGAATGGTAGCAAGAAATGGCAACAGTGGATAATTAATTTTCGAAGAAAATCCTCTTCAGTGATGAACCACATTTTCACCTCAGTGGATTCGTCAATAAACAGAATTGCCGCATTTGGGCGAATGATAACCCAAGAGTGATTGTCGAAAAACCAATGCACCCACAAAGAGTGACTGTTTGGTGCGGTTTATGGGCTGGCGGCATCATCGGGCTGTATTTTTTCCAAAATGAGGCTGGTCAAGCAGTTACTGTGAATGATGATCGCTATCGTGACATGATAAAGAACTTTTTATGGCCCGAATTTGAAGATATGGATGTGGGTGATATTTGGTTTCAACAGGACGGTGCCACTTGCCACACAGCTATGCGACAAATTTAATGGCCGTGTTATCTCACGTGGTGGCGATGTCAATAGGGTATTTGACACTTTTCTGAAAACTAATTTAAATCGTTGTTTACTACATTAAAAACACACTGTCATAATATTTCATTGGAATCTTTTCTATTTTTGGTGAAAATAATTGTTAAAATTTAAATAGCCAAAAGCGCGCGAAAAACGCTGCTCTATATAATGGCGCTGATCGTGACGTCACAGGCCAGTAAATATGTCAAATCGATAAGTAACAACTGTCTTTAGAGTAAATTGAAATAATAATTTAGAAGAGAAATTGAAGTCGTAGTGCGTATTTTTTACGTTTTTCATTTTCCTCTGCTCTGGTTTTCTTTAAAAAATGAGCTACAAGTGGTGCGTAGTGCCACAATGTATAATACTTCTATATGATACTAATACTTCTACAAATAACAAATAAACTTCGAGTCTAGAAGAAAATAGATTCACAATCACAATTGATGAGAATTCGCTAAAAGTATTGAAACTTTACAGCCTGTCGACCTACAGATGGATGAGACATTAGTACGAAAAAAAATGTTATATTTTTTTTATACATGCATGTAGTATGTCTGTCCACTAAATGCATGGCATTTGATTATTAGATATCAGATCCCGATGGTTTTTTTAAATTAGTTTTTAACTTGGAGAACAGTATATTATCATCAAAATCGACTTTGCAATTTTGAATTATTATATTAAAGTTCAAGAAATGAGAAAAACATGTAAGTTGCTCTATTTTAAATTGCTGACGTTTTCCCTATTTCTTGGATTTTTTAAAAAGCGTACTAAATGATTCTTTCATTCTGTATTTCTTTTTGGCAGTTCTTATCAGTAGAAGCGGCAAAGTATTCTATTATCAGTAAATTACTATAAAGTACCCGATACCTACAGGCATCGATATTTTATGTATCTTTTTAACACTACTTTGACATGACAGCTGATGACGTCACAGGCCAGTAAACAGAATCGTGATTGGTTGTGACGACGAATAATTATAAGACGTTTTCGTCGTTGAATAAATTCCTAAAAATATAGCATTTTCTTTACGTTATTTTACTAAATCCAAACATGTTTTTTCTTCAGATGTTAAGAAATAAGCTTTATTAGATTATTATCTATCAGGATGACCACAAAATGCAACTTATTTTCGATAGTGTCAAATACCCTATTGGCCGCCAAGATCATGTGATTTGATACCGTTGAACTTTTTTCTTTGTAGAGCAAGAGCCCGTGGACACCAGACCTACGTTATTTTATAAAAGCTGAAAGTTTGTCAGCGGATGCTCCCAACACAGGGAAGAACGATGGACCATTATGGAGTTTGGGTTATAGTGGCTTTGTTAGGTAAACGGTATTAAATGTGTGTAAAATACCAATCTTATTACGTCAAATAATAAAGTGCAATCTTTCGGTATTACCTTCAGAATATTATTAAAAATCACGTAATTCATTGCTAGACACTTAACATAGTGGCAACCCCTTGCCAGACACCCTTAATGTTCATGAAATTATAATTTTACTTACGTAATAGTATAAAAGCTGATTTTTATATTATAATACTTAGGTAATAAGTAGATGATGTTTCCTCATTGGCCAGACACTTTTGATAGTTCCAACCCTTTGCCAGACAAGAATGTAGGGTAGCTGAGGCAGTATGCATATGTAGCATTCGAACGATACTTTCGATACCGAGTAGATATCGATACCTTCAAAAGCGATACTCGATACTGAGTATTCGATACTACAGCACGGTAAGTACCCGCAAGTACTCATAAAAATTGCCGGTAGAGAGTATTGCTTGATATGGCTTATTTACTTCTGAGTTTCTTCAGTCGTATACATTAATATAATACATTTTTAAGAAAAACCCTGGAAATACATTTACATTTGAATGAAAATAAAAACAATAATAATATTTTAGAAAAATCCATAAATTACCATTTACTTACAAAGTTTAAATATTTTGGATAGTGTTTCATTTCAGTGTTGCCATTGATGTGGCAATTGCAATGTCTTATAAAATCTGACACTATTTAAATGAAAAATAGAACATTAGCTACTGACTTAGCAAAATCTACGGTAATGTAGCAAGGTCCTAGTGCTAAGCTAGAAAATAAAAAAATCAAATTAATCATGTTTCATTCTTTATTATATTCAATAATTTTGATTATGAACTAAGTTCTCATTGAAACTACTCAGAGGAAAGTCCTAATTACTGACTGAGAAATCGGGGGAAGTTTTAAATTTATTAGGCTAACATATATTTTTTAATAATGAGGAAGTATTTAAAAGAAAAAAATTAGTTCGCGAAATCAAACTAGATGTCGCTACGGTACTTTCTTGACGTCGCCATGACAACTCTTCCGGTTTTCTTTCATGTATGAAAGTAAATTAGCTTTCAAAACTCAAGAAACAACTAGTATTCTATTTGTACTTTTTCGTATTTGGATTGATATCTAAGTTTCGAATTTTGCAAATTTCAGTTTTTTTTAATGTTACCTAGTTAAAAAGAACAGAAATTACTATCTTTGGTCTATTCGTTTCCTACAAAAATCAACTTTTGCTAGAGTCGCCATCTAGTGGAGGTGCTTTTGTAGTGCTTTCTTTTTTTTAAATATTATAGTAATCTACATAAATGTAATAATTTTACGGTACGGTTTTAGGTACGTCACGGCAGTAAAAAATATGTCTGGCAAAACTGTTTAATTCATTCCTCAATCGTTTCCTCGTTGAGCCCAAAGATAATTTATGCAACTTTATATGTATCTCTTGCAACAACTGCGTAGTGAGGAGCCGCGGTAGACTTAACTCGCCATCTCACTCGCACAAAACCCATGTGCATACTGCCTCACGCTCTCCTACAGCTACCCTACATGCTTGTCTGGCAAAGGGTTGGAACTATCAAAAGAGTCTGGCCAATGAGGAAACATCATCTACTTATTTTTAAATTACGCTGTAACTCGTCAGTGATAGTGTTCCATGACACACCTAACACAGATTGAAATTGAACTGTATTATCTACTCTTATTGGAGCAGAAACCCAGCAACACAAGTCAAATCCTCTCTTTAACATAACTTCTTTAGATTCCTTTATGAATCTAAATAAATATTCGTTCGTGTCCAAACTAATCATACAGTTGTCTACGTAAAAGGAGTGTTTTAACATTTTAACTGTTTGTTCATATGAGCCTCGAAAGTTATCTAAGTGATAATTAATATAGCCGTCAGATGATACGGACTACAAGATACCCCAAACACTACTCTCTTATGTCTATAAGTGATTACTTTGTCCCTTGTTAGCGGGTCGTTCCACCATAAAAATTTAAAGTAGGTCCGATCTTGTTCAGAAACTAGTACCTGAAGAAATGCTTGCTTAATATCAGACTTTACCCCATATAAACCCTTTCTAAAGTTTATAAGCAGTTTCGGTATTAACTCTATGAGATTAGTACCTACCTCAATACAATCATTCAAGGATAACCCTTGAGCATCCTTGTACGATGCGTCAAAAACGGGTCGTACCTTGGTCGTGGCACTAGACATCTTAATGACCATGGTGAGGAAGAAAATGACCCTCGGCAGTGTCGTTTGCCGCATACTCTATGATATCTTCCTCTAACCAATTCTGAAAAACACCATCATAGTCTAATAAATAACCCGTCTTTTGTTTAAAGATAATATTTTCCGAAAACCGAAACAAAATTTCTTCCTTTTTTTATCTTTGCGAATCTGCTCATGTGGTTCCATAATACCTAGAACCTCTATATCCCACAAATCAGACAAATTATTCTGAGCATGACAGACAAAACTCAATGAACTATGAGTAGCACTATATAAATTAGGACCTTGTAAAGTCCATCCAAATTTAGTTTTAATTGCAACTAAAGCCCCTTCTAATTGAACTATAGTACCCGTACATATGATAAATAATCAGCCCCTAATAACAAATCGATGTCGCTTACATCACATTCAATATCATCGATAGTTATATTTAATGCTCGTAATTTCGCCTTTAGTTTGGGATCTTCCGCTTTAGGTAGATATCCACATATGTTGTCGAGCTCTACGCCTATAATCGTAGTAGTAAAAGATGAGTCGAGACTACTGGTACACACTTCGATAAGGTTATGGAGTTCGGCTGGTTTAGTCACACCGCTAAAAAGTGAGTACCCTAATTTCTCCGTACCTACTACCTTTAAGCTTAGCTCATCTACAATGCTCTTTCTTATATAAGACCGTTGCGAACCAGTATCACACAAAACGCGTATCTTTTTTTGTTTACCGTTTAATGAAATTTGTATTACTAACATCTGTAAAAGAACATTGACACTTTTACTGGATAAGAGAGCTACGGCTTCATTTGAGCCTTTTTGTTTGTCTTTACTGTGTAGGTCTGGACAGAAAATCACTACATGACGTTTACCACTAGATAAACATTTTATAAACGCCTTGCAGTATTTAGCTACGTGACCTTTACGAAGACAAATAAAACAAGCTCTTTTATCTTTACAGCAGCCTTCTTTTGGTCTAAAGATAATTTAGAACCCTTATTACATTGTAGAACCGTGTGAGATGTGCTCTCACAAAAGTAGCAGATGTCTTTAGGGCTCTCTTTATTAGATACAAGACAAGACTCATTACCTGACTTTGCGGACGATCTCTGTTCTTAAGCTACGATGTACGCTGCTGTAGGTTGTATGTCTAAGCTGCTTGGGGGAATATAAGTGTTAAAATTAGCGCGAGTTAACTTAATTCGTTCCTCGGCTTCGGCCTCTCTTATCAAGAATTCTAAAAGTTGCGTTAACTTGCTATCGTCAATAACAATCTTTTCCCTACTCCAAACCATTAAAATATTTTCTAGTAAGGCGGATTCTACCAATGGATACAACATCGCTTCATACTTTTCTTTAGTGACTTTAAGCGATTCTAAAGCGTTAAGATGCGTCATTAATTGATCGTACAGCGATCTTATACCCATGGTATTACCCTTGGCCTGACACAAAACTAAACCTAACAGCTCCCTGACATACGTGTCGATCAGAATCTCTTCTTTGGCGAATCTACCTTTCAGCTGTTCCAAGGCCTTTTTATAGTTCTCCGCTAACGGAGGATAACTCGTGACCAATTCGCGTGCCTTTGAACCATCTTTCATTGCCTGGATGAGGTATTGGAACTTGTCTTCTGACTCCAGCGTATCGTCTTCGTCGATCTTCTTAAATTGGCCCCAAAAAGACAACCAAGTTTTAGTGTTGTCGTCAAACTTAGTCAGCTCAATTTTCGGCAGCGTTATGTTCCGCCGTTGCTGCTTGACCCTCGATGCTGATGGTCTGCTACCTTCTATTCGAAGATTTTCTACTCTACATTTGATAGTGTAGAAGCTTTTAACATAGGACTCGCACTCGTCGAACTCCTTCGCATATTGCTCGTCAGTACCATCGATGTTCAATCTCATTATTATATCATCAAGACCTCTGAGCTCTTCAAACTTCCCCTTCAAATATTGAAACTCGGCCGTGATCCTGAGCTATATCTTTGATAAATTCGAGCTGTTTCACGGATCTCATAAAAACTCTTCGAGTATGTGCTCGTTTCTTAATAGCGTCGTCGAGCTCTTTTTTGAGTATCTGAATAGGTATGTTAGTAATAATTCTTCAACAGTACAAAATGAGAAACTAAAAAATATAAGGAGTTAAATAAAAAAATAACGGGTTTTCTCCATTCTTGTTATATTGTTTCTAAGGTAACTTAAAACGTAACGATACAATGTCAATAGAATATAAAAAAAGGTTTTATTTCTAACACACCTTTTAAATATAATTAATTATTATTTGACAAAAATATTCTTCGAATAATGTTTTTGTATTTCACAATCTTTTTAACTAAATAAATATATTTTTTATTTATCGATTGGTGTGAGACTTATATTACGCATACATATACGCATGTACCAAACGTATAGTCTGTACTAAACCTTTAGCTCCACAGAACAATAATACTTTATTTAGCTCGCTCTGAAGTTGTTTCGAGCATAGGTACGGTAAGAAAGTATACTTTATCTTTATATGCATAAAATACCGTATCCCTACGCAGAACAACTTCAGAGCTAACTAGAAGTTTCGCAAGGACTATTTCATTTACTCGCAGTTAGTCTAAAATGAATCGTGTTACGAAGATATGCAATATTTCAAACACAGGCGAGCGAAATGATATATTATATCACTTGAGACAAATGTAACATTTATATCAGTCGCTCGCTCGCTACTCAAGTCTACACACTCAGTCCAACTCTTCTTCTTCTTCTTTTATTAATGGGTTATCTGCGCATTATGCACAGTTCTGCACGTGTTAAGTGAATAAATTAATTTCTATATATGTAAAATAAAAATTAAATGAATGAAAGATGGCGATGATCTCAGTTGCAACTCGAGTAAAGTCAAATTGACAATATTGGCATCACTACTGTCAAAAACCAAAACTCGTCGGGCAGTGTGACCATATTCAGTATTTTAATACTTTTTCGGTATATTTTATCGACTTTTCCAAGCATCAGTATTTTTGAAGGTATATTGGCGGAAGTCAGTATTTTTTGGTATATTTTGGATAAAAAGTTATGGCAACACCATAGCGAACGTCTCCGCGAATTTCTGTCAGGGAATTTCCCGGACTTAGTCTATTATTTCATTCGGGAGCAAAGATCAGTAAGTTATAGATAGGACATGGCAAGCGTCCGCCGAAGTAAAATTATTAATAGTATCGAATCATCTAATACGGTTTAAATAAAATGAGTTTCTGTTCTGCACTTAACTTAATCTTTGAAGTTATTCTTTCGATAAATTGGGAATTTCCCCTTTGTAGTACGTTTTTGTCATCATATAAATAGAGCGCTTTCCTTTTGTTTTTATTTTACTTGACGCATCCGTCCGGAACGAAATGTCTAGTTTTCAGCAAAGTTATTTGGCTAAGTGGGAACAAATTCCGGAGTTTTCTTCGTGGCTTTCACGTTATAAAGATGACGAGTACGCCGCCTTTTGCAAAGCATGCAGTGCGAAACTCCAAAGTAGATTAGCATCTATAAAATAACATGCAAATAGTGAAAAGCATAAATCGAACTTTAAAAAATATAAAGGACAGTCAAAGGTAAGCATACATTGATATATATAGCATTACTGTAGCTTAAGTCAAAAAGTTCTGTTGTTGTTGTTCTGGGGATGTTTTTATTAGTGGGTGGTCTATGCTAACAATTTTTTTATTTGTTTCCAGGTTGATAAATTTTTTAGAAAGGTACCACTGAAAGACGAAGTCAAGAAAGCTGAACTCCGTTTTTGCAGTTTTTTTGCAGAACACAACATCCCTTTTAGAGCTATGGACCATCTTAGTGAAATTCTAGTAAAGTGTTTTCCCGACTCCGAAATTGCGAAAGAATTTTCCTGCAAGAGGACCAAAGCAGCCACTATAACTTATAACGTTTTAGGACCCGAATTTGAAAAAGATATGATTGTAGACATACTTTGTACTGCATCTCCGTCAGGTAAACCAGTTTATTCAATTGTAATTGACGAAAGTACAGATGTTTCCACAGTCAAAGTATTGGCGATAGTAATCAAATACTTCTCTGAAACCGAATGTACAGTAAAAACCAAATTCCTTGATTTATTTGATTTAAGTGGTGAGACCGCAGATCATTTATTTAATGCTTTGTCATCAAAGTTATCCGAATTAGGTTTAGATATAAAAGATGTGTTGGGATTCGCTGCTGATACTACGAATGTGATGTTTGGTCAACATTCTGGCATTGTTGCAAAAATTAAAGAAGTGAACCCAAAGTGCTTTTTCATAAAATGTGTTTGTCACTCTGCAGCATTAAGTGTTAGCCATGCTTGCAAAATACTGCCTAGAAATTTAGAACAGATGATAAAAGAAGTATATGGATATTTTTCTCAAAGCAGCAAGTGTCAAAGAGAATTTGCTGAGTTCCAAAATTTCACTGACACTGAAAACCATAGACTATTACGTCATTATGATATAAGGTGGCTATCGCTTCATGCTTGTGTTAGTAGAATAATTGAGCAATGGAGGGCACTGCAGTTGTTCTTTCAAGACCAATACTTGAGTGATTGCATTCTATCATCAGAATTGATATATAATTTATTTACCAGTGATATAAACAAATTGTACTTCTACTTTTTAGATTACATTTTGCCGATTGTTAACAAATTTAACATAATTTTTCAAGGCGACTATCCGTGCATTGAAAAATTATACGATGATGCATCTAGTATGTACTTGTCGATTTTGGGTTGCTTCATGAAAACTAATTATATCAAAAGCACGGACAACGTATTTACGTTAGACCCAAAGTCTACTATAAATTATTTGCCATTAAATGATATGTACTTAGGGATCCGAGTGGGTCAAGAATTAATCAAACACAGGGAAAACATAAACATGAAAGAACAAATTGCTGATTTTTTCAGAAGGTGCCAATCTTTATTAATTGAGTTGAGCACACAATTAAAATCACGTTTGCCTTCTCTTCTTCTTCTTCTTCTTACAACGGGCGTCTCCGCAACTCGACGACCAAATTGCGCCTATTTTGCGTGTGGAGGGTGTGTGGCTGGATACTACTCCAGCCAGCCCAGCTCTGCCAGGAACGCCCCGAGCGCCTTCACATCTGCGATGGCCTCTTGGAGGTTGCCCGGCGAGCCGAGGTACTTTGCCCGGTAGTTGGCCACTCCGTTGCATTCCAGCAAGACGTGAGTGGCTGTTTCTTCCGCCTCCATGCATCCTCTGCACAAGGGGCTGTCAGTGACACCTAGATTGAAAAGGTGCCTGTTAAAGTTGCCATGACCAGTAATAGCACCCGTTACCAGGCGCAAATATGGTTTACTTAGCTGTAGGAGGGCTTTGGAGAGGCGAGCGTTCACTCGGGGTAGTGCAAGTTTGGCCTGCCTGCAGGTTTCCAAAGTGTGCCAGTATTGTTGATGTAGTTTACTCGAGTGTTCACGTATCCTACCAATTAACCAGCTTACCGGAATAGGAATGATCGGTTCCGGGCCCATTGGTGTTGCATCTGATCCTCTGCGTGCCAGTTCGTCAGCTGCATCATTTCCACGTGATCCACTGTGTCCTTTTATCCATTGGATAGTAATTATATTGTGTGTCCCTACCATGTTTAGAACCTGGTGACACTCCTGTAGAAGACTCGATCGGACAGAACTTCCTTTGAGAGCCTGTAGGACTGATTTACTGTCCGAGAAGATCCGGATTTCTGATCCTGTTACCTTCCTTGTAGTTATCGCTCTCGCCGCCAGGGTGATCGCCATACATTCAGCCTGGAAGACTGTATTGTATGGGCCGAGGGGCAGGAACAGATGTATGTTAAGGTCCTCAGAGAATACACCAGCCCCTGTGCCTGTTAAGATTTTGGAGCCGTCCGTGAAAACAGTGAGGGCCCTGTGTGTTACCTTTGGATCGTCACTGTCCGTAAGGTGTATCTTGTATTTCTTATCAAAGATGAAGGTGGATTCGATTCTGTCGCAAACCGCCTCACAAGCGGGGTGTTAAGCCATTCCTTCAGTAAGCCATTGAGATGTTTAGCGGTATCGAACCTTACCAGTTTATGATTTTTTAGTCTCAACGCTGTCTTGGCCGCTTCCTGTCTAATATAAATATGTAGCGGTGTAATATTCAACATTACCTCCAGAGCTGCCGTGGGCGCCGTGCTCATGCATCCCGTCAGGGCGCAGCACGCCTGTCGTTGGAAGCTCTGCAGTTTGTTTTCACATGAGGACTGAGTAGTTTTTGGCCACCAAACAATGGCACCATAACTTACCATCGGTCGTATTACTGTGTTGTAAAACCACAAGAACAGTTTTGGCGCAAGTCCCCAACGCTTCCCGATCATTTTGCGGCATTGCCACAGGATGACGCTCGCTGATTTAATTTTGTGTTCTATGTGGCTGTTCCAGTTTAACTTACTGTCAAGGGTTATGCCTAGATACTTTACCTCCTTGGACAGTTGTAGTGTTGTACCAAATAGTTTCGGTAGGTGAAACGTGCCTACATTGTGTTTGGTTGTGAACATTACCAGGTCGTACTTTTCACACCAGCGTTCGACTCTCTTCAGGGCGGCTTGCATGGTGTTGCAGGTTATACCAGCATGGGTGCCTAGTGTTAATATTGTGATATCATCGGCATACCCTATGGTGTAGAAATAGTTTGCATTCAGGAGTGTGATCAGGTCGTTGACCACCAGGTTCCACAGTAGCGGCGAGAGCACTGACACAGTGCCCCCGTACTGTCCTCACCTGCCACCCGAACTATCCTGTTGCGTAGCATATTCACGATCCAGTCTATAACTTGTGGCTTTACTCCATGTCTTTTGAGAGCCGCCTCAATGCTGGTGAAGTTGGTTCTATCAAAGGCACCTTCGATATCGATGAAAGTGCCAAGACAGATGAGCTTGTTGTGAAGGGCCAATTCTATCTTACCGACTAGTTGATGGAGGGCCGATTCTGTAGATTTACCTGCTAAGTAGGCGTGTTGATGTTTATGTATCGGAGAAATGCTCAGTGCACCACTTCGTACATATCTGTCGCATAGTCTTTCCAGAGTTTTGAGTAGGAAAGATGTTAGACTGATGGGCCGGAAAGATTTGGGGTTAGTATAGTCGGTTTTTCCCGGTTTGGGTATAAATACTACCTTTACTTCTCTCCATCTGTGTGGCGTGTATCGGTGAGCAAGACACGCTTGTAGTATACAGGTGAGTGCTGAGACAATAGTCTCGCCTCCCCATTGTAGTGGTGCTGGGAAAATGCCGTCGCTTCCTGCCGCCTTAAAGGGAGAGAAGCTGCTGATGGCCCATCTCACCTTTTCAGACGTTACAATTTCTGTTGCAAGGCGCCAGCATCTTTCCGTCGGTGTCGGCGTGACATCATGCCATACTACCTGTTCAATTGATTGACAGTTTGGGAAATGGGTCTGTAGTAGGATATGATTGGATTCATCCTGGCTTTGGGACATCGTGCCGTCAGGTCTTCGGAGAGTTCCCAACGTGCCAGGACCTTGCTTCGCCAAAATTTTCCTTACCCTATTTGCCTGTGTTGTGGAATTTATCTCTTCGGTGAAGCTACGCCAAGAGGCTGTTTTCCAGTATCTAATACGTTTTTTGTACTTAGCTTTAATGGCTTTGTAGTTGTCCCAGTCCAATTCACTCCGGGTGTTCATTGCTCGGTTAAATTTCTTCCTCACCTTGCTTCTTATTTTCTGTAGCTCGGGACCCCACCAGAGGTGTTTACCCGAACCTTTGGATTTCGGAAGCTTGAGAGGGCAGGCCTCCTTGTAACATTCAAGGATGCAATCGGAGACCATATTTACCTGCTGTTCTATTTCTACCGTGGTGTCGATTCTACCATTTTCACAGCTCGTACACAGTTTCTCTGACACCAAACGATTGTAATGGGTTTTGTTAGTTTTTTTGGGGTACCTTTTAGGGACGAGGTCAGTGATCGGTACCTGTAAGTCGAACCGAATCCACCGATGATCAGAGCATGACGCCTCTTTCGATACGTGCCAGTCCGATATCGCTGGCCCTGTTTCCGGGGTCGTGAGAGTAAGATCAATTATGGAGCTGCCGATCTTGCTCACAAAGGTGGGTTCGTTTCCTCTGTTCATTATCAATAAGTTAGTGGTCAGAAGGAATTCAACAAGTTGGTTACCTCTGATGTTGCTTTTCTCCATTCCCCACAGGGGGTGATGAGCGTTTGAATCCGTTGCGATGATCAGTTCCACATTTTCCTGCGCGCAGAAGCGGACCAGTGAGGCAACCTCCTCTGGTGGGACTCGCTCCTTTTCGTGCATGTAAGCAGACGCTAAGATCATATCGCAGTTATAATTATCATGTTTCATTGTCAGCCTTGTGGCGCAGAGATCTCTGGAACAGAAATTCGTTAAAGGCTGTGTTCTAATGTCTTTGGTAGTGTATATACAGGTTCTTACGTCATTAGTAGTGGCTTGAATGAGCTTACCTCCCAGACTGGAAAGTCCTCTTATCTCGCCACCCCTGATCCACGGCTCCTGGATCAGTGCGACCGCTGTTGTATTTACCTCCAACCATCTCCGAAGCTGAGCCGTTGCGGTGATGCTGTGTTGGAGGTTGGCTTGCAGTATCTTCGCACTACTGCAGTGGGACGCCATCGTCCTCGCAATTGACGTCCTCGATCTCCAGCTCGCTCAGCCCCAGGAGGCATCCCTCACTCAGAGGCGATGAAGCCTCGTGCGAGGGACCGGGGATGGCGTCGTCTGGAATCGCCGCGGACGTAGCGGTGGCGTGTGGTAAGCCGGCGTCGGGCGTGGGTGCCGGTGTGGGTATGGGCGCAGAAGTGGCAGCCTGTGTTGGTTCCGGTACCGATACCGAGGAAGTCGCACTGGGGTTGTTCGTCGGCGGAGTGTCGACGTACTTCCCTCTCGCGTCCCTGAACTTCAGGTACACGGACCCCGTCATAAAACAGAGTCTGCGCCCCTTAGCCAGGATCACGGATACGTCCTCCTCAGGTATCGATAGGAGAACGAAGGTTGCTTCGAATTTTGGCTGTAGATGAACACCGTTGAGCAGCCATCTTTCGATGTTCAAATCTGGATTTCCGATCGCCAGGCATTTGCCTAGCATAACCCGATCCTTCTTCCAGAGTTTAGGCAGGACGAAGCCGCACCTAACCCGTTTGGGGATCTCTTCCGCCCTAACGACAACAAGATTTCCTCCATCTGGGCTCTGTACGTTCCGTACCTGCTGTCGTACCCACTCTAGGGTTTGTGCGTTGCCGCATGTGTACCTTAGACACCCGTCAGCGTAAAGCGGTTTCCCACTAAACACCAGGGCGACCTTGGAACACTCGCGGAACGCAGTCTCACTGGCAATCTGCATGATCCCCTCCTCAATCTTCTCCTCGACTAGCTCGGCCGTCTCACGAGAGATGTATCCCTCGCTCGACGTCACAGCGAATCGAGTTTCCGATGTGGAGGCGGTCACAGTTGCCGATGTTACGGAAGCGTAGGAACGCTTGGAGATGGAGTTAGAGCTGGGTCCGGTTGACGGCTCCGTCTTTTGCCTTTTGGGCTCTCCCCTCGGAGACACAGTCTCGTCGAGTCGGGCCCTCTTGGCGCTGGACTTTGCCTTTCCCTTCCCCTTCCCTTTCCCCTTTGGCAGTGGGCGGTCCCTCCCGTGACTTGGCTCCGGTCCCGCCTGGGTTTGCTCAGGCAACAAGTTGTCTGTCGCTCCCCCATACGTTCTCGGTGCCTTGTCCCGACTGGTAGTGGGCATCGTTTGGGCTTGCTTGGGCAGTGGCAGGTTACCCTGTTTCCCACCTTTCGCTCCCCCTTGCGTTCCCTCCACCGTGCCGGTGTTCGGGGCAATTTGGTTGCTAGAAGAAGCTGACATTCGGGATTCCCTCCTGCGCTGCTTCTTCCTTTGCATCCGTGCCTTCTGCTTCTCCTTGCGTTTGGACACTTGTAGAGCAGTCTGGGCAGTGGCGGACAGAGTTTTCTCTGCCGCCTTTCCACCCTTTTTGCCCACTTGTGTCCAACCTGGCTCCAGCAGTGTGTTTGTCCCCTCATGGGGTGTAGGTGAAGTTTGTGAGCCTTCCGGTTTCCCTTCAGGCGTGTTGTGCTCTCCTGAGGACGCCATTAAGACCAACTCACGAGAGGGTGTATTGGTGTCTGTGTGTGACGGTGATTTGAACCTGTTAGTGTCCATGTTTTGTATGGTGTATAATTCATCCAGTCCGCTTCCCATCACGTTTGCCTTTTGATAATAAAATTTTTCGAGAACTGAAATTTCTCGACCCACACACTGCCGTGAATAAAGAATTCCGCAGTTTAAGAAATATAATAAAAACTTTCCCATACGAAGTACAGCCAGAACAAATGCAGTTAATTGATGAAGAATATAGAACCCTTAAACTTGATCGCGAAGTAAGTGATTTGTTACAATCTTCGAGTTCTGGCTCACCCCTTTCTTGTGAACAATTTTGGGTGGAAGTTGGGAAAATTTCTAATAGTGATGGCACGTTCAAGTACATACAAAAATTTAACTGCATTCATTAAATCTCTGTTATGTATACCGGTATCGAATGCTGCATGCGAGCGCATATTAATAATAATTTAATAAAAACGGAACAAAAAAACAGATTTATAAACAAAAATGTATCAGCAATTTTTCATACAAAGCAAGGTGTAAAAGATCAAGGAGGTTGTGTTAATTTTAATCCCTCAAATAGAATGTTAAAATACAATTCTAACATTTATTGTGATGAATGATTAAACTTTAAAATTTTAAAATCAGTATTTTTATTGGTATATTTTCCCTGTTCAAGTTGGTATATTTCAGTATTTGATTATTTATATTTGAATATTTCAGTATTTCAGTATTTGAGGTGCTTCGGTATTTTCGTAAATAATAATCTGGTCACACTGTCGTCGGGTGATGGACTTAAGAAGAAGAAGACTGCCGTTCGCACAGAACACATTTACTAAAGGCCGTTCGAGTCAGAATTACTGTTCTCTTTGGTCAGAACTTACTTTCCAAAGATAATATTATTGGGTTTTCTTCGATTGAGAAATGTATTCACCTAAACTATTTCACAGTACCTTAATTACCAACAGAATTTTAACTGGCGTTCGTTCTTATGCCAAAAGTAAAAATCCATTTGTAAAGTCTTGGGAAACAATCGCAAATGAAATTCCTGTATTATTTGGTGCTAAAGACAAACCTATATATCCAGAAAATGTTGATGTCGTCGTAATAGGTGGCGGGTTCATAGGATCTTCTGTTGCATATTGGCTCAAAAGTAGAACCGCCGAAGGTCTTTCAGTTGTAGTTCTTGAAAAGGACCTAACAGTTAGTATGAACAGTTTCAATATTTTTTTTATTTTTTGTCGCAACACAAATTTACTGGTTCAGTTTTTTTTGTATTACAGTACAGAGACCTACAGAATAATTCTTCTCTAGGTACCTTATCACAGCACTTTTCACTACCTGAAAATATTTATCTTTCGCAATTTAGTGCAGAATTTTTAAGAAAGATAAAACAACATTTAGGTAACAATGCAAACATTAAATATCAACCTCATAAAAATTTAATACTAGCTTGTGAAAAATATGCTGAAACAATGGAAAAAAATGTTACATTACAAGCAGAATATGGCATACAAAATAAACTTATTACTCCTAATAATATAAAACAGAGGTATCCATGGCTTAACACACATGATATAAAATTAGGTGAGTTATTAATTTACTAGACATTGTAGCTGATATAGTATTTGCCAAAGTGCTTAACCGTGACATTGTTGGTGCTCATTTAAACAAATTTTCTTACTTTGATTTAATGGTTGATTTCAGGCTGTGTTGGGACTGAATCTGAGGGAATTTTTGATGCTCAAGCATTGTTAGGAGCATTTGTAAATAAGGCACATGAACTTGGTTCTACATATATCAATGCAGAGGTGGTTGGGTTTGATTTAGAAAAGCAAAGGGATGTGCTAATGGAAGGTGTCCCACCAGGTTCCTTTGAAAGAATCAATAAAGTTATATATAGAACACCAGATAATGAAGAATACAGCATTAAATTTGCAGTTTGTGTCTTAGCTGCAGGTGATGATTCAGGAAGTATAGCACGGCTTGCAAATATTGGCACTGCTGAAGGGTTACTTTCTGTACCCTTACCTATAGAAAAAAGGTAACTGACAATTATACTTATCATCAATGTCCATAATTCAAACAAGGAATACGAAATCACAGAAATTAATATATTACAATTTATTATAAGCAAACTTAGTTTAGAATATGTAGGTAAGAAATGTTACTGAAATTTAACATTTTAGTATTTCATCTGCTGTTATATTTTTATAAGATGCTCTCTTCATTTCAAACTGTTTCTGGTAATTACTAAAATAAAATCAGAAGTTAAGTGTGTAGTTACAACATAAAAGTGATAATGGAGTAATTTAAAATTGTTGTTTCTCATATAGGAAATCGAAAGTATATTCCTTAAAAGATAAAGCTAAAGACACTGGTTTAAATACCCCTATAATATCAGACACAAGTGGGCTATGGCTACAAAGAAATGGACTTGGAAATAACCTAATATGTGGTCATATTCCTATAGTAACAGAAGATACAAAAGATCTTTCTGAAAAAGACTATTATTCATCCATTATAAAGCCATCAGTGTTAAATCGAATATCAAATTGTGAAAATACAGAGGTATGTAGAAATCATTAAACAAATTTCAATGTTTTTTGACTGAATAACAAATTAGCTAAAATGTTTGATAAGTTTAAGTACAAACAGCATGTCAACATACATAGCATGACAAACTTGAGAACACCCAAACATATTTTTTCTCTGGGCTTGAGTGAGATTTTGTACCTGAAAAAAGTGAAATTTGAGTGTTGACAAAACATTCTCGAATTTGTTATGCAATACATGTAAGCAATCCATGACTGTCAGATTGTTCCATTTTATTTAAAAAAATATTTTCTTAAGTTCAAAATTCAACATTTATGATAATTTAAAATGGCGTCATGATCCGATCTAGCTAGCCACTACTCTCAGGGACCTGATCTGACCTGATTAACCTTAAGGCTAAGGCTAATGCTGATAAGGCTGTAGCCTAGGGCGCGACAAATAGGGCAATGCTAAAATCTAGCCTACGCAAGTACAATCTAACTAGCTTTTGCCCGCGACTTCGTCCGCGTGATATAGTTACTTTGGGCATCATATTTTCCAAAAACGCTGTTGTTTTTTGAGGTGATGGTGAAATTACCTTGATGTTTAAGTTCGAAGATAGTACAACAAAATATCAACGAATGTCCAATATGTTTCAGCACTTCATCTTTGAAACTTTAGAGATATTAATCCAATTCAATGCAATTTGAAATAAAGATGAAAAAAAACAGTTCTGAAGTTTACACAAAACTTAATCGAAAACGTAATCTACGCAAAATTCTTTGAAAGAAACGTTACAGCAGATTACTTTAGAAAAACGCCATCTAGAACACAGCGCCATCTATTGGGTATATTTGCAACCTAGATGTCAAACGATATTGAAGAATTTTATCTCTGAATCGACGTACACCGCCATCTATGAGAACTTCATAAAACTAAACAGTAAATAAACACTTGCTTACGAAACAATTAATTAGAACATTTTATTCGTTTACATTCACGACATAAGCGAATAATTGAAATGATAACTATCCTATCCAGGAAGTTAAACCAAAATATGGCTACACGTGAAATTTGATAGAAATCGGTTCAGTAGTTTTGGAGTTTATTGGCAACATACATCGTGACATAAAATTTTTATATTTATAGATAAAGATAATATTTCAACTTGACCCAAGACAAAAACTAAAACGTTAGTACGTTTTAGTAGCTTTAGTTTAAGCAAATTGAAGTTCAAGTGAGCTATGCCCCATAAACAATCATACATATATTGCGATTTTAAATTTCGGCTGAGAAATAATATTAAGAATTTTTAACGATGAGTGACCAACTGGCGAAAGGTCTTTTTTTAGTCCTAAAAAGAGTAAAAAATTACTTGCGTTCACCATTTCGCAAACAAAAAATAGCAGCGATAGACGAAAATATTTTAGTGATTGCCAAAAACTAAATGAAAAATTCTCATGTGGGAAATTTCGTAATAGTTGTTATATTTAAAATTATTGCTATTTTTATTAATTAGCAGCATTTGTATAAATAAACTGAATTTCATTCCAGTTATTTGACTATTTTTTATTAAGATGTTTAGTGTGAGCAACCTAAAACACGTAGAGGCGAGGGCGCGTCATCATAATTAGCCTAGGGCGGTCAGAACTCTTTATCAGGCTCTCACTACTCTGGGCAAAAATAATATTTGCAATCCTCTGCACTGTTTTAACAATTATCTACATACTATGCACTCAATTTTCTATAATATATAAAGTCTGTACTAATACATTCATTGTTTGAGATTTCCTATAATTTCTTCAATGACCTCTATTTTCAATCCATTAAGGTTAAAATCGAGTGGGGAAATTTAGCAAGTTTTTTATAGTTAAACTTGCAGTTGTACATGATGTTGTATAATATAAAAAAATGTTTATAAATTATTTATTTATTTAAACTTCTTTGCACAAATAAAGTGTACAAATGGCGGACTTAATGCCAGTAGGCATTCTTTACCAATCAACCGGAGAGTTAAGACAGAGAATATAATAGGGCAGTGCTACATAAAAAAAGTAGTGTCATAAACACTTCAATATTTTTAATAAATGGAAATAAATATACATAACAAACAAATTACATAACATAAATCAATATATAAGCATATAATACCTACATACATATATAAATAAGTCATATTAATTACAAGCAGTATAGTAATTACTTCAAAAGCTTTTTGCCTAACAATCTTTTGAAACATAATTGATTCAGAGCAGCTTGAATATGGGGAGGGAGTGCGTTCCAAAGTTATATAGCCTAAAGTAAGAATGAATTTGAAATTAACCCGGTATGGTGAAAAGGAGTGCTATTCATCACTTCTGTATATCGTATAACACTAATGGTCAATTGCACAAACGTCCATTAAAGTTAAATGATGGCTTTAAGCTCTAATGAATGTCAAACTTATATGGGTAAAGTCGCTTTAATAAACTAATGACATTTTTTATGGATGTTTGTGCAACTAGCTAAAAGATGCTTCCCACTGTCTGTAAGCTGAGATCTTTTAATCTATACAACAGATATTAAACAGTTTTCATCAATATACAGTGATTCAAGAGGAAGGTTTATATGTATAATAGAGTAAATCAAGAAGTATTATATGTATGCGAGCAAAAAGCTAGTTATGAATAAAACAATAAAAATAATGTTAGGAAAATCACATTTTTGTGTCCATAAATAATCCAATCTAAGCTATAAAAATGAAATTTATTGTCATGCATGATTTAAAGTAAGTTTTCCCTTGCTTTTTTTAGGTAACTGAACTAACTACAGAAAAGCAAGATTGTAATACCTTTGATTATAGTGGTATAATTGGACCTCACCCATATCACAATAACTTGTATATCGCAACTGGATTTGGAAAACAAGGTGAAACCTATGTTCTATATAACATTTAAAAAGGGATAGGAATCCCTTTTTCATCACAATTTTTATTTTAAAGGGCAATTCTTATTGAAATATAACATGACCTACATGCAACAGCACTCCTCTAACCCACAGAGAATAAAACACCATACCTATGATAGACACCTATTACTAAAACTAACTATTTACGTTTAATATTACAGGTTGTCAAAATGCCCCAGCAATAGGAAGAGCTATATCAGAATTGATTATCGATGGCCGATATACTAGTATAGACTTAACTAGGTTTGATTTTGACAGATTACTTACAAACAATCCATTGGTAGAATTTAATATTTATTAATTTGCTACATTGTATATGCCTTAATAAAACAAATACATAGTGAATTTTCTATTTTGGTTTTATTTAATATCATTTTTCTATCACTTGAATTGTGCTGGAGGAGCAGCAAATAGAGCTCCACCTTGTTTTGATGCAGCTCGAGAAGGAGCAAATCCTAGTAATTTCTGGATATTTTGTCTGAAAGTAAGAATAAAAATGGTTTTACATACGTGTCTATAAATAAATACATAGTGCATTTGCAGCATTAAGACTTGTCCAGTTGATTTTTTCCAATTATTTATATGAGGTCAATATGTATTTTACTTTTAAACTTCATTTAAATTATGTAATGACTTTATAAATGCAGTATCAGTTTAATTATATTATCTGTGGCATAAAACTAAATTAATAAATTCTCCTAGCCAACTCCAACTAAATTGATATATACTTATATTATTTTCTAGTTTAATATTTTCACACTGAATAAATAATGAAGATATTATGTAACTTTATCTGTAAGCACTTACCTAATGCTCATAGTACAAAGTATATACAGAAAGATAAAGGAACAATCAGTGTAGTCATCTCCAGTCAAATTTCTATGACTTAATCCTTGTATCCAGGATATTGGATAGAATGGTAATTTTGCCACAACTCTACCATCAAATCTAAAAAAAAAAATATTATTTCATATTGTTATTTTGATAATATTATAAAGTAACCAAATTTTTTTTTTTTAATAAAATCATTTCAACAATTTCTATTAAACAAATGCAATATTAAATATCATTTAAATGATTAATTTGCAATAGTCAAGTCTGGTTTATGGCATTGCACTGTAATAAAAAAAGTTTTGATTATTTTTGTTTACTAATTTATTTACAAAAGAAACTGTTTGTTATATGTGCCACCACTTCAATGTTTAGTTCAAAAACATACTGAAAATAGCTCAACAAATCTCTTGAATTAGGAAGGTGACACATTTACATAAAAAAATTTGTATCTGTTCTAGTAAAGTATTATTATATATATGTGTATATACTTACATACTATTAAACATACTAAGCAATGCTGTAAAAGCAAAACCTATTGCAAACATGGATTTCATCTTAACCAAGGATAGGTCTCTGTTGTTGTTTTTAAGTCGTTCTTCTTCTCTCTCAATTTTTTTCTTATGCTGTTTGTCTAAAGAATCTCCATGAGCTTCTTTCCGTTTTTCCACTAAAAAGATAATATACTTTACGGTCTTGATATATTCTATTAAAGTCTATACCTCTTGCCTTGATATTTTTAGAAACCCATTAATAAATATTTAATAATTATAGGCCATTTTGCCTAGGACTAGAAATTGAGACTAAATTTATAAATCGAAAATGGTGCAAATTACACTCCATTATAATATTATAATCTTCCACTGCGTATAAAAACAGAACAAAACAGCGGAGACAAAAACTTACATTTTTTGCTCTGCCGCTCCACTTCTACTTTGAGTTTCTGATACTTTTCTGTTCTATAAACAAGGATCCATGTTAGTCCTGAAACCATTTTATTCATAAGACAAGGTTAATTTAGAGTTACGCTACATAAATTATTTTTTGTGCATAACTTAATTCAAACCTTCTCCTAAAAATGCCGTACATATTGATATAAATACTATTAATAAAGAATCGCTCCACATTATTTCCAAATAGAGCTTTATCCGTGAAATATGTTTGATTATCTTTACTGAAACGCACAAACTACTTGATAAAACTATTTTTGCCTTCAATCAAATATGTATATTCTTTTACTCTTTGGAGAAAACATATTAGACAAAGAGTAGTATTATACATCAGAAAAAATCATAGACATAAAAGAAGAGGACCGGCCATACCTACGAAAAGAGCGTACCAAAGAGTAGTATTATATGGAGCGTACCTATATGCCTAAACTTGAAATGTAAATTCTTCGATGGCGGACTGTCATAGGGCGCAACCCATGAAATCGATATTTGTATCGACATTGAAGTCATATTAAATAAAAGTTAGTATTTCGTGAAACTGCTACAAAACTACTACTTATTAAATTTCCATTGTTAGGGGCATGGCTAAACTAATACCTATTACACTTCTATTCATTTCACACTTACGTACCAATCCTATTTATGATTGTTATTAATTAAATTGATAAATTCAAGCCAGTTTTAAGAAAATAGTATTTTGTTAAAAGTGGCGTGAATTTATCAATTATTTATAAATCTTTAAGCTATCTTTTGCTCATGTTTTGTTGGACATCTAAAAGTCTCATTGTTCTTGCGACTCGGTTACATTAGTATAGTAATTACAACCTATGTTACCAGCGTATGATGGCGCTTCCCACCGGTAAAAGATTATTCGTATTCCAAATTTCATCAAAATCCGTTAAGCAGTTTTTGCATGAGAGTAACAAACATTCATCCTCATAAACTTTCACATTTATATTATATAAATATTATTTTATATGCTGGTAACTAGTAAGCCAACTTGTCTATAAATTTATTCAATAAATTGTATTGACGGAATAAATTTCGCTTACTCCTTATTAAGTGAGATACCGTGCGTACGGTGTCACAATTTTAGTTCAGAACATCTTGTTTAGTAGTATATCTACATAGAAAACTTGAAACACGTACATAATCTTTGTATTATATTGTTATAAAAGAAGATTAAAATACTGTAAACTTTGATAAATAAACAAGAGAAAATAAAGAAAACAAAGTTGGTAGATGAAAAAGAGATATAATTTATTAAAGAAGTAATATTATTGGCAATTGGCATATTATTTAAAAATTTGGTTAGCAAAAAAACAGCCGATAAATCAATGGGCAAGCATACAAATATTTTCCCAGCACTAAAACAGTCTGCAATTCATGTTCTGTTAACAATCATGATAATAGTCAGCAATTTAAATACAAAAAGTAGCGTTTTTTATGGTACATCAGCAAAATAAACAGCCACGCCGCAAAATAATTATTTGGGTAACAAGATTATACAATCGAACAGCAAAGAAAACCTTTATATATGCCTTTAATTTAAATAAGCAATATAAATAATGAGGAAGTATTTAAATAAAACGAAAGCATTAAAAAAAGCACCTCCACTAGATGGCGACTCTAGCAAAAGTTGATTTTTGCAGGAAACGAATGGACCAAATTTCCGTTCCTTTTAACTAACATATTAAAAAACTAAGATTTGAATAGTTCGAAAATACGAAAAAGTACAAATAGAATATGAGTTATTAATTGAGATTTGAAAACTAATTTATTTTTAAACATGAAAAAAACCGGAAAGATTGTCATGGAGTAATCAAGAACTTATCGTCGCGACATCTAGTTTGATTTCGGGAACTAATGTTTTTTTATACTTCCTCATTACTTTTTTTTTCTGAAAAATATGCGACATAGTAACAGAGTAAGGCATTCGAAATTTCTACTGCTACTACTAAAGGCATTCTTATATTGTCACACAGACTAATAATGAAATAAACAACATCTCAGTCTTATTGAAAACGGAACCTATAAAAGTTAAAGTTTAAATTTCCAAAACCACACGAAAACCGCTATGTCTGTCATACGCCGCCTATGACTTCACACGAAAGTAAGTAAACAAACGTCATCAAACTAAAATCTTCAATAGGAAACCATATTTACTAGTGTGTGATGTCAACAAAACGTTTTCGTCTCTGATAAAATGTCAAGAAATATTTAATTTTATTAATAATAATTACGCACATTTCACTTTATTTTAAGCGAAATAATAATATTTTGCTTAAAATAAAGTAAAATATGCGTTATTACGCTTTTATCTTATAGAATGAGGACAATTTTCAATATATTTTTAATGTTGTTAAGTAATGTGTTAGTTTTTTTTTATTAAAATACTTAGGATATAGCCGCTTTATTTTACATTACAAACATTTTTCATTATAATGTTAAATAAAAGTTCTGAAAACAGTAATAACTATATAAATTAATGATCTTGTTTACTATCATTACGAATGCATGGCGACTATGGGGCGTCGTGTAGGGTGGCGCGGAACGTACAAAATTTTAGGGGTAGTATGAGGACTTAAAAGTTATGATATGAGCCAGGTGTTGCGTTAAATCGTACGGCAGGTATAAAATAATATTCAAAATAATAGGTTGGTCACCTACTCAACCTCCTCTAGAAATCAATTTCATTGTAAAATGATACTTATCTATTTTGATATACCAATGAAAACGCAGTACATAAATACCAAAGATGAATCGAGTCAAAGCGTTTTTATATCTTAAAGTGAAAGCCAATGGTTTAAACTTGCTCGACCCATCGAATCGTGAATCCATTGCCAATACATGTCTAGCGCAGGCACTTTGAAGTGGCTGTGTGAAAGTAGATTCATTTGTCTTCTTATTAATAAAAAACAACTAAACGCAAAATCCTGTTGTGTAATGTGGTCCGTGTACAGTATTGCTATCAGAATGACTTTTCCCCATGTAAAAGGTAAGTCAGCAAATTGCTTTTGTGCTTTTAGATTTATTAGGTAAATTCGTGCGATTGAAAATCGAGATGCGGACGACCCCTTATACGTTTGGTATTGCGAAAAGATGTGTTGCAACTTAAAATTTTAAAAATATGTAATGCTAGCTTACTATTTAGCTAGGCGAGACGCTCGGTGGCTTGTGCAATCCGTTATCACATGCCGAGATTAACCAAGTTTCTTAAGTGCCGGTCTTAGGATGGGTGTCAAAAAAGTATTATCTCGAGTACGTTGAGCCGTTGATTCCAGCTGCATCTCAGGAGATGATGCGGTGAATAACAGGATAAGATAGGATAGCTTATCATATCAGACCGGATAAGAACATACTTGGCTACCCCTGTAAAAATCAATGTTGTCCATTTACTTTTCTAAATGTCACCACAGCAGCTGAGTTACAAATCTTTACAGGGATTATAAAAATTGAAGCTTATAATCAATTATACTAAATGTTATAAAACATGGGGTAAATTTTTAATCATGCACATTTTTTTGTATTGTCTATAGAAAATATTACCTAATCAAACATTTAAAAAATAATCACTTTTTAATATTTAGTTTAAAGCGGCCGTCATAACTTTGTTCAGTAAGATAAAAAGGCGCTCGAATGCAAACGATCAATTAAATTCTTATCAGTATTTTCGTCTTTAGTCAGAGAATAATAGCGTTAATTCCGTGTGCACTGTAATAGACCAATAAATTCGTCCATGACACTATGCATGACTAAACAAGATTTAGCTGCTGCTTTAGTTTTTTCGCTTGTGGCTAAACATAAACGAATTCGTCTGTGGTCGAAAGATTGGTGATAGAAAAGGCAGAAATTGTAATCAATTTGAATTATGCGTAACCATAATAGTTTTACCAGTTTAACCATAACACAAAAAAATATTTTAATGTGTAAACTTTTTTGCAAAAATGATTCTGTTAGAAATAAAATATTCACATGGAGCTTTAAAATAAACCAAAACGTAGTTTTCATTAACACAGTTTTACTATATCTTTGCAAAAATATAAAAAACACGATCATAATTATATTTGTGTAATTTTTATAGTTTCTAAAAGAAATTATATCTTTGATACATTTATCTTCGGAAATTCTTGTTTAAAGCTGTCAACCCTAAAAGTCACAAACAAAGGAGGCATCGTCGCGTCATGCGATCGATTTCCTTTTCCTTTTCTTATTCAATTCATTCTTCAGCCAAGCTTACCGCCCGCCAGCTGTGTGCTCTGAACGAACGTCGAAGCTGGCTTTGGCCTGGTGTCTTAGCCACATTGGATAATAATTTGTAATAAAGTGTTCCTATAAAAATCTATTAGGAAAACCAATCTATTAACGATTGTCATAAAATAGAAAGCTATAATATCGCTTTCTCATATATTAGGTAAAGCTATTAAGTTATTCAGTCATATTAATACAATACCTAACTTCGTGAATAATATATGATAAACATCTATTATAATTAGTGACAATATTTAAAACAGAAACTGTTATGAACTAATATAGTGAATCTCCGTGAAAATATTACCACGCATCTATAATGAGACGCCATTTTGTATCGGCCGCTCAGGGCGTGGCACGTCAATAATACCAGTCCTGATTCATTGACAAGCATATAAATATAACCATGGTAAGTTTACTCCCATAATTTTGTACCATGACCTTTTATTTCCAAAATCCTACTTTTAAAAGTTTAATAATCGGTCCATCCATTTGATGATACCTTGTTTGTCTTTATCTGCTTTAATTTGAAATCTGTTCGGTTTTAATTGTTGTATAATACTTAAGCTGAATGTAGTCAATTGAGTAAATTGGCAAACCTATATATGTCAATATAATTTTTTGCAAATTTTATTTTTATTTAATAGCTTTAGTGCGCCGCCATATTGCCTCTATTGAACAATCTTTTTAATTCTGGCAAATTCGATTTTATTTTATGGTTATAATTTTGTCATTTCTACCTAGAAGTAACGAATAAGGCAATAAAAACGGAAGAGATAGGTTCTTAACTATCAGAACTTTGAAATTTGTACATAACGTGTACAATGAAATTGAGGTCGTCTCGTGCTATTGCGCATCGAAAATTCTATTTATAGTAGTGACGTAATTAGGTAATTGCGAATGAGTCGCCTTTGGGGTCCATTGAACATTACTGCACAGTGAGAAATATTTCTACGAATTGTGTGAATTAAGCACAAACGATAAGCGGTTTAATAATAATGGTGTAAGGTGTCAGCCAGAGCACTTGTGTATAACGCCTTGTTTGCCATTTTATTTTCTTTTAACATGGCCGCCGTTCATTGTTCCAGTGCTGCCACCAACAACAAATAAGATTATACAAATTTATCAAACTTCTTTAATCCATTTTTAAAGTTTAACCTTATTTTATGTTTCACAATTGATTCAATGATTAGGTTCGTACTATTAAAGATTATACCTACCTAGTATTTATGAGTCTTGAGTGCCAGTTCGTCTCAAATACTTACAAGAGTTTCGTATTACAAGTGTTTCCTAACTTTCGATAGTTTTCCTTGGAAAAGAGGTTGTAACTATGTTGTAACATAGTAACAACATACCGTCAGTTGCACAAACGTCCATTAAAGGTTTTATGACGCCTTTAAGCTCTAATGAATGTCAAATTTATATCGGTAATGTCGCTTTAAACTAATGATAATTTTAATGGACTTTTTTCAACTGGCTGATAGTCCAATAAATATCACAAATTCGCTAATACGACATTATTAAGTGTGCTTTGCGGAGTCTTAGAGCTTCAAATGACATGATGGGGGAGAACAAACATTTCTATATATACTACTTTGTGCACACTGAGCGCGCATGGGAGCTAAGGAGTAAGCGAAACTGCAATACCGTCGAGTCAAAGATGTGTTTTGTTTATTTAATAATCCTTATCAGCTCTTTTACGTCTCCACTGCAGGGGCTCAGGCCTTCCTTATGGATGGTTAAGGAGGATGGGCCATGACCCTCCACGCTGGCACAATGCGGATTGGAGGGTATTAACGACTGCAAATGCAGCCGGGACCAACGGGTTAACGTGCCTTCCGAAGTACGGAGTAGCTCAAGATAATAATTTTTTGGTCTCTCAACCCGACCCTTGCGAAAGTTGTTTAACGACAAAGACCGCGAACAATACCGAACGAACGAACGACAACACCGAATAGCTAAACATAAATCTAGGTATTATTTTTTAAGAGCTCCTTGCAAAGGGGTTTCTAATCGGGCAATATTTTTCGGCTCATTTAGAAGATTTCCATCGCCGAAACAGTTTAAAAACTGTTGAACGCATATTATCAATTGAAAGCAATATAGTTTTTGTTAATATCATAATATAGATTTTGTTTGAAATTGTACTATCGTTAAATTATATCAACTAACAATACTGTCGATAATTCAGAGGTTTATAACCTCTTTTCAATTAATAGGTATTGTATCAAACACTTTTTCATTTAATAGATATTGTAGGCAATATCGCAGTTTATTAAACTATTGGTATCGATGATAGTATTATACTTAAACATATGCTGACCTTCAATAATACCGATCTTACTATAGGGGCTGATACATCGATATTGGTGTTTATCAACTTCGTCTTGTATAGCACTATCAATAATTTAGAAATAGTCTATTACTTGTTAATTATATTTTATCAGCTTTGCATTCATAGTCTATACCGGTAAATATTCTTATTGTAAAATCTGATGAATTTTAAAGCATTTTTCATTAAAGATATAACTTGTCAAACCTTGAATACTAGTTTCAATACAGAAAGTGCTACCAAAAGAATCGATATCACCAATTAACTAATATTTGCATCAGATTCAATTCCTATGTTCGTAAATTTAACAAAGTGTCAATTTTTGTTGCAAACTATATTGGCTCTCTATTCGTGGCGTTACTAAAAAAATGAAGAAACATCTAATGATAACCCATTTAACGCTCATGTGGGAAATTGATAATAATCATACTTTTACATGGATTAAATCATAACATTCTTTAAAAGAGATTTAAATAGGGATGATGATGCGTGGGTAAAACAAAGCAATTCTATTTAGTCCGTCAGTTGGATAATAGAAAAACATTATATACGTATATAGATACTTTTTTATTTTAATTAAACAAGAAATAGATAACAGGCAATAAATTTCTCGCTACGTTAGACATAATTAAATGATTGATTACCTACGCAAAGAAGAAAAAACACGTGTTTGATACTTTTCATTTATCTACCAGACGGACTAACAAAAAAAAAAATAGGAATTATCCTTATTATTTCAAATAAATACTTGCCTGACCCTAAAAATTGGCACAAATAAAAATAATTTTATTTCTTAATGAGAGCCACACTAGGCTACCATTACCCGTTGATCACTATTTTGAAAAGTAATAATATAAATAAAACTATTATGAACGGTGTAGCGTTTATATTTGATTTAATGACGTTTCGGATCCAAGGTTCCGTGTTCACCTAAGACTAAGATGTCGGTTTTTTATATAAGAAATTAGTAAATAATAATATAAATATGGATTTTTGTTTCAAATAAAAATTTTACTAATTGTACGTGCTAGTTAGTACATGAGTCGTCGAGATCTTAACATAATGCTTAGTTAGACGCTGATATCGGTAATATTTCGCGTCCCTTGTGACTTAAGTTATAAAAAAAAAAATTATACGTGTAGGATAAAGCATATAATACACAGGAGGTCAAAGTGTATGTACTTCATTTTTCATACCTTGGCTCAGCGGTGTGCTAAGGTTGTCAACTTTGACTTACGCACAAAAACCTATCGCACTAGTGACACTCGTATCTAGTTGTTTGATTTATTTTTGAGAATGAAACAGAAAGAAAAGTAATAATAATTAAAATATTTTGATTGCAATAATATTTATTTTGCGACGATTTCGGCATTGACGAAATGCACGATTATTGACCTTTCGCAATCCGTGCGACTGCTCGATTGCGAAAGGTCGTGAGTTCGATTCCCATCTCAGGGTGCCAGGGACCAAGTGGATTTTTTAAGCATTTTGTATTAAGAATAAATAAATTTCTATCCGTATAATTTCCTTAAAGCTGCTAATATGGGAATACAAGTTACCTCTCTAAAACAACTGGTAACTTAAAAAATGATATTTTAATGTTTAATTTGAATAACTGTTCTTCGAATAGTTGTAATACTACTTCTTTGTCGTTTCATTTCGTTAAAAAGTTCACAGACCCATGTCTAAAACTGACGGCACTCGCGCTCGCACGATTTCGAAGTGGTCCAAGACATCCTGTCCGTGAGTGTTTTCTAGGTGTGCGATGACCGAGCGCACTTTGTATGTAGATACTAGACTGTTTTCTGTTATATATATATTCTCTGCCTAAAAAATCACATATTTTCGTTCTTCACCTTTTCTCAAACAAGGTTTCTCTATTCGCTTTCTTCATCACGATGTACTCTGGATATTCCATGTTATACTTCTAATATGTAAAAATATTTTTTGTCTGATCCTTCTGACTAATGCGCCCCGTACTTTTTTTTTTTTCTCCTCCAGAGGTTACTGGTAGACTGTTAGAAGACTGTTTAGCAATAAGGCCGCCTTTTGTATACTCTGTATTGTAACACCGTGTTATTTTCTGTAGTTTTACAGTCTATACCGTGTGCAATGAAGTGTATTATTAATACAATCGATTGGAATCAATGTTAGCAATAAAAAATAATAGCAATAGTAACCCATAACAGTAGGTCTCGATGCTATCGTTGTATTTAAGAAAAAACTGACAATATTATTGGTAGTTACAATTTTTCGTTATTTTGTAGAACCTAAAACTTATATAGATATAACGAATACTATCGGAAGTAATACTGTCTATAATATTACTATCGATAATATGGATAGAATATCGACACTATTGATATGACGTCAAATAACGATTAAACTATCGTTGATGGGCGTTTATATTATATAACTACTGGTTTCGACTGGGCTCACCGCGTTGAGTAGAATCAAATCGCAACAATTCGGCCCTTATATTTTTTATTATGAAACAGCATCCATTAGTGACGCGTTTAAATCTTCGAATTGATGCGTTTTGAATTTACTCGGTTCAAGTCCACGCGAGGCTTTTGTAGCCTGTTTTTTGTTAAGAGGGGGCGTTAAAACCAAAATACTCGGCTTGACTTTTGTCGAAACTAGTTTTCCAACTGTCAGTGTTACCATACTTTAGAGACAAAAAAAAACAAAATTGATTTATTTAATGAAATGTAGATAGATGGTGAAGGAAGTCGCATTTGAGAGTATATTTCAACTTTAGAGAAAGGTCCATTTAACCAAAATATTGAAAAGTTGTAATACACTCTTTGTTTAATTTGTAACAATGAATTCATTAACAATGATGTCCGTCCCATTTAGATTTTTCATGTGTTGATGATTGTCCATTATTTTATTTTTTTAGGTATTATGTTACCACGATTTTTAACCCCCCCCCCCCCCCCTTTTAGAGGTTATATTTATCGTCAACTGAAATAAATAATATCATTTAATTGCTATAAAGACAGATTTTAAACTCTTAACTAAAAACTTTTAATTACATCATATTTCTTAACGTTGACCCTGTGATTTTTTTATATAAAAAGAATCTGCTATTTTATAATTATAGACGACGCAATAAGTGGTTTGTTTCTTAATTTCCGCGTGTGTGACTAGGTCGTATTAAATCAATTATGTGTATTAATTTTTAAGCTATTTTTCGTTAATTTTGAATAGTAGTCGAGGTGTATTCAGAAAGCGAAACTCATCGATCTTCCCATTTCACTAAAATTATCTGTCAGTTTTCGTCACGATTTTCTTTATTCATGATTCCCTCAATAGTTCTTTACTACTTCCCTAATTGAAAGCTATGCTTTTCGTTTACACTAATTATTGTTATGAAAGAAATTCGAGCTTGAAAGCGAATGAAAAGGGTTGTTTTAAGCAAAATTGATATTGCTATACTGAAATTCACGAAAATTCATTCAAAATTCTGAGAGGTATTCTATTTCATTGATATCCTAAAGATTTATGTATATATATATATTGGTGCCAATTATGTTGTCTCTTAGTCGATCCCTCATGACTGAGGATCATGGTCTGCGTTAGGGCTCCATCTGGTGTGATTGATTTGGTTTCTGTCGAGCGCGTCTTTTAAGACGGTGTAAAATTTGGATGCAAACCAATGCGATGTTTTGCCTTCGGTGCTTTACATTACCCAAACTATTGTCGCCTCTGCGCATGGTGTGAGCAAATATTTAAAAATGCGTTGTTAACATATGGCGGACAGGCGAGTTTTAATTTTGAGTTGATTCGGTATCAATGCAGTAGTGCGTTTCGCACTCTTAGGGTATTCTCAGCATTCGCCTCCAGCACCATATCTCAAATGCATCCATCCATTATGTTCCTCGGGTCAGGATTGTCCACATTTCCACTCCATACAGGAAGATTGGTCATTCTCATGACCTTGGTTTTGATAGAAATTTTGTTTAGCGGGTCACATATATCACAGTCTGTTGGCCTTAAACAGAATTCAATAAAAATAATTTGGCTTTGCTTAAACGTTATTTCTTAGTTACGTGTAATCGAGAAACTGTAATGATATTCTATCTAAGTCCAATTATTATCATAGTTTAGGATTGAAAATGTCCTTTGACAGTATTAAAACAAATTAAATCTAGTTTGTGCTACAGAATCGCTACCGCTACAGAAAAACGATACTATATGTATATGTTGTAGAATTAAGACAACTCATGTCACTTAAACAAATATTAAACCTTAAAGTAAGTAATTGTTTACACACATTGTGTTAAAGTGCCGTTATAAGACCAGAATTTTAATGAGTAGGACTGGTTTGCTACAGTTCGTTCATAAGTCAAAAACATAAAAAAAAAATCTTCACGAATTAATTCAAGGGAGGGTAGATGGATTTATTTGTCAATAATAAATATCAGCAATAATTTAATTACTTTGTAATCATGGTATTTACAACAGTGCCGTATTTGCCAACTTTATGTGTATTTTCAATGACTACTAATCAGAAATTAGGATTTTGGCATTTCCGTATTGTATTAGGATTTTTTTTCCTGAAAGAACTTTCCGCGATATTTAGAGAACCTAGTTGCATCTGCATTAAAGATGCTGACTCCAATGTCGATGATGTAATCTTTAATCAAAAAGTAACATTTTCTTTGAAAATTGTGATATAAATTTGCTCAAACATATGCTTATCCGACAACTTAAATGCATGTTTGATATATGCGTTATTTTAGTATATATATTCTATGTTAGAAAAGTAGGAATATTTTAGTTGTATAAATATCTGCTAGAAACTAATCCATTGATACAAATAACTTCCTAGATAACTGTATTTTTGGGATTCAGTTCGTGCAGTCATTGATCTAACCCTGTTGAGATATCTATATGGGACTAAATAATATTTATTTCCATCATACCTACATATTATTTTAAATGTTAAGGAAACAATATTCATATGAAAATCCTGAATATATAATTAACCATTATTGGTTTTTACCTCTGTAATCATTTATCAGCATTTCAGTATGCAGTGAACTTTATTATCTAAAGATATGTGTTTATGCTAAAGATATGAAAAATTAATGAATAATTCTTTATAAATTCACCATAATAATTACATAGTAAAATATTTTTGTGTTTAAATTTAATGATTTTTTTATTTTAACCTGACAAATAATTTAAAACTGTTTTTGTATTTTGTTACAGCCTCGAATTGATCCTGTCCAGTTACTAAATTGCCTCAGTGTACTTTTGTCACCTAATGGGGGAATTAAGAGTAGAAATGAAGTTCAAAGGCTGGCCGGGTAAGATATAACACTTGTTTTTTTGTTATTAGTTATTTTCCTTTTTTATATTGCTCTATATATGTATAGATTTATAATAAGGAATAGCATCATGCGCAAATTAGGTAGTTCCAATCTGAAAATATCTCCACTGAAACTACTTTTAGTTGAGCATAGTACTCATCTTTTATATTTGTAGGAAAAATGTTGAAGCCTATACTTTCCATATAGAAAAAAATCACATCTAAGCGGCCTCATACCTATGCCTTAACCGTCTTTTTTTTTTACTTTGCATCTGCAATTGCTTAACCTGTTTTTTTTTATTTTTATCTGTACTTTGCCTCTAATCTATTTATAATTAGTTGAATAACTTAGTTATTTAGTTCGTTAGTTTCGAACTAAGATTAAAACAAAAAGGGGATTATCTACTTTCCAATTTCGTGAAGTAACAAATTTCACGATAACGCACGAATGCACTTTAATGTCTAGTTCCCAAATGTAAAATGGTTTCGGAAAATCCAGTTCCTAAAATTTACACTTCCCGTTATGTCCAATAAATCAAAATGTCTTATCATGATGGGTTTGTTGAATACACCATGATGGGTTTGTTGAATACACCATGATAGTAGATTGGACTTTTCTGATATTAGACTTTCCAGTAAATCGAGTTTTTAGGGATTTTGGAATCGTTAGATATTTTGGGAATTGGCCATTCTGACCTAAAAATTCAAGTTTGTTAGTGATTGAGACAAAGAAATTAATTACTTTTAAGTACCATGGTAAAATAACCCGTTCATGTATATGTATCTTGGCTACTCAAGATAGCTTCACGTAAGCAATTATTTTTACAAATGATTCAATTAAAATGTATTTAAAAATACACAGTCATTTGATCGCGTTTTCAGTAACAAAATGCTGTTGCTTCATATAAGTAGAGCGTATTTGTAAGCTAACAGTAAATGAACGAGTCGATGGACTCTGTTTATTAAACAAACACGCGCTAATAGGTAACGAATGTTCTCTTCCCTTTTTGTTTTATGTTTTTTGGATGATATGATGTGTCCTTAACATCATTTTATAATAAAAATCGAGTGTTCTACGTGAATTAACACACGTGAAACAGATACATTTAATTTATAATGTATTTATTTACTTCTTTAATAATTTGTATTTTTTTTCAGCTTAATGACAAAATTTTCAAAGAAGCTGGTATCGAAGTGCATCTATATACAAATATTGAAATGTACAGAGACAGAGCTATTGGGATTATTCATGGGTTCAGGAGGCTGGTTATTAGTTCATATGTGGTTAACAGAAAGCATAGTTGCTAAAAATTGGCCTTTAGTTAAGGAGCTATTAGAACTTCTGTTATTATGCCCAGTTGACATTGAACGACTTAAGACTAATAATTGTCCTAAGTTAGTAAAGGAGTTATCAAAAGATGGAAATCACTTTGGTAAGTTATTTTACTTGATACTCAATAAGAAACAATTCGTGTATGTCACTCTAGTGTTTAAACAGAACTTAATTATTGAAATAAAAGACAAAAGTTAGACTGATAGGCTTGGCTAACCGATCTATCAATGCAACTCTTAAACTGCTAAACAGATCGAGTTAAAGTTTGGCTCACTTAGTCATTATAACATAAAGGTTCGTTTAAAAGTTTTTGTTTTATACATATTTCAACCCTTGAGGGGTTGAATCGTGAATATGACGTGGGCGATAACGCGGGCAGAAAGTAAATAGTTAAAACGGCAAGCGCTATACATTGTTGGTTATTATACATTATTCATCGTTTTAATATATGATTTGTTTTTAGCTATAAGAGCTTTGGCTTCGAAATTGGTCGAACAATGGCTTAAAACGGTGAAAGGAGAACCCGTTATACCTATACTTGAAAGTGAAATAACTCAGTTAATCGCAACTGCGCAGGCAGAAGTTTGCAAGTCTGAAATTGGTACTAAACTGGAAGATACTAATACAGAAAAAGTATCGGCAGATATTAAGACGGATTTACGTAATGATGGGGATTCTAAATCTTACAATATTGAATCCGTTCCAAACTCTGTTGTAAAAAACGAAGATGTTATAGTAAAAGAAAATAAAGAATTAGAAGAAGATAAAGAAACATTACCAGTTTTAAAAATCTCTCTGAAGGATGGAAAGCAAATAATATCAAACATGGATGATGAAGAAACAAAAGAAGAATCAATTACTGAAAAATCTAATGATAAACACAAAAGAAGCAAAGAAAAGTCTAGTGAAAACAGTAATTCCAAATCAAGTTCTTCTAAACACTCAAGCAAATCTCGTTCATCTTCTTCATCTGATAAGCATAAAAGTAGTCATAGAAGTTCTAGTAGTAGTAGTAGTAGCAGTAGGAGTAAAGATAGCAAGCATAAAGATAAACATTCATCTTCCAAATCTAAAAGTGAAAGTAGAAAATCTAGCGATAGGTCTAGTAGTTCATCTAGTAAAGATAAAGATGAACGAAGTAATAAATCTGATAAAAGTAAAAGCCGAGATAAAGAAAAAGAAAAAATCCAAGATAAGGATCAAGATAAGAACAAATTAGATAAAAATGATAAAACGGCAAATTTACAGAAAACATCTAATGACAAATTGGAAGATTCACCTACGCCATCTATTCATAAATTAGGAAAAATACCTAAATTGTCGGAAGTTAAGAAAGAAAAACCTTCAATATCTATTGAAGTCAGAAAACCTGATGATCCCAAACCAAAAACTGTTAAAACATTTCATTCTAAATTCAGAAAGCACGGGTTAGAAGAAGAAGTGAAGCCCCCGCCATCCCGAGCATCGTTTATAAATAAAAAAGTGGCGCCTGCGCCATCACCAACTGTACCAATACCAAAAAGACCTTCACCTGTACACACTGAGTCTCCCCCTGAAAAGAAACTTAAAGCAGTCGAACCCTTAGAAAAACCAGGATCTATTAAACTTATCCCTGCTAAACCAAAGCGTAAGTATTCTTTTTCCATAATTTCACAAATTTTCTCACTAATATTAATTATTTTTACAGGTAAAAACTGCCATCCTGAAGCTTCATGTGTGGCAAGAAGTGTATTATTTAGTTTAGGTTGCTATAACATCATTGGTAAGTCAAAAATGTATAACTTAATGGGTTCCAAGCCGTTTTTACCATCTGTAAATTATTTTTTAGAAATAAATGCTGAACTATTTGCAACTATTATCTTTCGTTCCATACTGACCTGAATTTGTTTAAAGAAAGAAGCAAATCAAAGGTTTCTCTCAAAACTGGTGCACATTCAGAGAATCTACCTGAAGATCGCGGCAGAGGGGTTGGCTACCATCGGCGCTCCAGATGTGTGTCAGCGATTATCCACAGATGGGAATTATAAGTAAAATAAAAATAAAATAAAGTACTTATTAACCGATTCACAAGACACAAACATATCTACTCAGTACCCTTCAGATAACGCGATTCTATTTAGAAAAATAGGTAGTAAGATTTATATATTATTTTTATTATTTAAACATAAGCAATTACTCGAATTCATATCGATGATGCTGAGTAGTATCAAGCCTTGTGTACATTCGGAGTATCTATTCGGTACCCTTCACATAACGCGATTCTATTTAGAAAAATAGGCAGTAAGATTTATATATTATTTTTTATTATTTAAACATAAGCAATTATTCGCATTCATATCGATGATGCTGAGTAGTATCAAGCCTTGAGTACATTCGGAGTGTGGAACAGATCAGACAATATTGAAATAATGAATCACTGCAATAATAAGATTATTACTTTTCAATGAAGTTCACAATTTTTTCCACTAAGTAATAACGAAGGAGCTCTATGGTACCTAAGTGAAGGCTTGCTAATTATATGTCGTTTCAGATTAGCATTTCATTTTACCCTGTCATAATATTATGATGTAAAAGTTATGCGAAACTGAAATACCTTATCTAAAAATATCTTTTGTTCAGTATAGATTTTGTGAAAGTGACCCACAATCCTTGTTTTTTTATTTTGTCTCTTGGACAACTTCTCTCATTATTTTGGGTTAACCCTATTTACATTTTAGACAATATTTTCGCTTGCAATAGGTATTCGTCCTCTGGAGGTTGATGTTAGATCTTAATGAGTATCAGTATGATGCACAAGATCACTTTATAACATGCTTATCATCTGCATCTACATTATTTGTAATATAAAAAAGGCTAAAAACCGAAAGCTGCTGGGCGATCAACGGTTGGGTTGCCATCTATGAACTTGAAAAAAAAACTTAAACCTCTTGGAGCTGAAATTCTGATTGTCTGTCACCCACCACAGTATCGATGCAGCGATGGTTGACGAAAATCCTAAAGTATAAGCAATATGTTAATGTTAAAATTAGCTCGCTGCGCCTATCAATATAATCTCTAAACTATAATTAGAAGACAACCGAACGAATGGCAACCTTACACATAGAAATCAAAGTACTGAAGTACTACTTACCTATTCAATATTTTATAATGTCTAAATGCATTTCATTTGATGAAACAATCATTTCGAATATGCATGCTCATCAAAAACATTCGATACAATTTCATCGGTGTCTATTTGACTTGGACCTTATTAGCGAAACCAAAGTAATCTGTTATTCGAATAATAACAATAAATGTTGTCAAAGAAAATTCGTGGAAATTACTAATGCATGAAGTTTTTATAATACGGTAATATTTTACTTATCTTATAAACCTAACTACGTTACTTAGCTTTTTCTTAATAAAGTAGGTAGGTGGTAGTTACGTATCGTATGTCATGATAATTGAATGTCATAGATATCGTTAGATTTGATTTTGAAAGAGAAACTTACAAAATTACGTTGGCCATCTACAGCTTTGTTTAAGGAAAACAAGCTTATTTCTAACACCGAAATTATACTAAATGCGCATCAATAATTACTGATTGCACTACAAAATATATCAAAAATGATTTGATTAATTTTACTGTGCAATTTTGTAATATTTGATTTCTGTAGGTTAGTACATAACGATGCTAACCTACGAGATTGCATTATTGTTGTTCTGTTTAATATAATCCGAACACACGAATAATCAAGCGTTGATTCTTGGAAGAACAACGCATAAATACTTTATTAAAAGATTACTAGCATTTATAAAAGAGCAATATACTACGGGCGTTTTTATCAGTAGAACCACGACAGCAGAATTTATTTTATAAAATGGTGTAAATAACAGTTACTTTGACTACCGATAATAGGGAATGCAATCCTTTTAAAAATTCAAATACTAATATTTTCCTTTCCATGGGAGACAAATGTTTGCTGAATATCAGTCGGAATTTATAAAAAAGGATCTAAAATATTGTAAACATCATCTCTATTTAAAAAAGAAGTAAATCAACAAATATTAAAACGGACCATGGGTACAGTCGACAGCACAAAACTCAAATTTCCCTTGTTTTAAACCTCAAGCTGTTGTAGATAGAGTTCAAAATCGCTTTGACATTGTGGCAGCTTGACACAGCCCTAATTACATAGGTAAATATTTGTTAATTCTTCGGAATAACTAACTGTATTACCTAAGCAACGTAAAAGTTTCAGTTCTTTCACGATTGTGCAAACAATTGTGATTTGATAGACTACCTGAAAATGGGTCGGTCCTCTTTAATATTTTTTATATCTTTCCATCGAAACAATTTCATTGAAATTGTTACAGAGCTAACTTTAGGTAACCCAGCAAATTTTTGTCGAACGTACGAGCGGGATAGTGCACATTTGCAGGTTATTGATTGCATTCCCTAGTCGAGAACATCGAGTTAATTTTGGGAGTTTTACTTTGAGGTTGGCAATAAAATCAGAAAATTGCCGGTGCAGAGAAATGATGCAAATTCTGACTGAATATTACAATTTAATACTTACAGCAGCACGTAAGGTTATCTAAAACTGATTTTTTTTTCTCATTGCTTTTAAACTTTATGATGTCGATATTTAACTACAAATCCTATTCCGGATAATTGACATTTTGTGGTAACCTCAAGTGCTATTTATATATAAGTAGCTAGCTTACTATAGATTAGGTGTATCGGATAAACCGAGATTAACCCTTTAAGTGGATTAGGTAGGTACTGACTTCGTATCTAAATTAAAAGATTACCAAATTCTCAAATTGAAGCTTTTATTCATTTTACAATCAAAATCTAGCCGTGACACTAGCTAACGTAAAAAAGAACAAACATACTATTGATTATATATGAACTAAACATATGGCAAGAAAGAATTGTATAATCAATACATGCATATTTTTAACCCGAAGTGCCTATGACTTTGTATTCGGAGAAATAAGATTCTACAACTAAAATAGTCTTATTCATTAAATAAAGTTTATTAATTTGGCGATAATACTTGCTTTTTGATGTACGGTATTTTTAAAACCATTTAAACCTGAAATAACCAACCTCGCTTAAATAACGATTTGTTGGATATCGTGTCGGGAAATGCTTTACGTGCCCCTTGTGTAAGTATAATACTGTAACTTTTATTTTTAATTGACCGAGCTATTTTCATAAAACTGGAATTTAATAAAGGACTTAAGTTAATCGAAAAATGTATACCTATTAGAGGAGATTATTAAGATAAGGAACATCGTATGTAGAGCTTTCATCATCTGATGGATTTCTAAGCTTGAAATCCAAGATTGACTATCCGAAAACATCCTATACTTGTGTGGCATATGAAATAAATTTGCTACACTTAGGTCCTTGTCGTTATTAATGAATAGTGCAGTTGAAAAGCTTGTTATTATTCTGTTTAATCTATAATTAATATATTCTTTCACCCCTAGAGCTTTTTATGCTGTTACCTGTCGTATAAAAAGTCTTCGGTCTTTTAAGACAATTTTCCGATAACTTTCACATAACCGTTCGATAAAAAACAATTGTCTGTGGAATACCCGAAAAAACTTCTATAATTTTAACCGACATCGGGGTTGCCAACATTGAAGCTATTGAAATATAGGACCTACCAACAGGTAACACGGATATCACGCAAACCGAACATTTGCAAGGATAAAAAAATAGCTTACGTACTTTTCTAAGTACTTAATTCTAATCTATCACTGCCCCTTTCATTTAAATTTGTTCAGCCATTTTGGCCCTATGGATAACAGCTCTATATTTTCTTGGATATTTAATTAAATATTTTTATAATTAAGTAATATAATAGAAAACCATATTACTTAGTATTCATTTTTATGAAAATATTATTTGCATTTTTATTAATCTTATGCTCATTTCTACAGTCTTTATTGGCTTGTAATTTTGTAGAACTCCCTTTATTCTTACTTAAAATTTTATTTCATATTTTTATTTATATCATTACAAAGATTGTCTTTCTCACGGATAAAAGTACCTACCTTTAATCTTTGGCAAATATATAGACGTATTTATAGGAATTTGTTAGATTTCGGTTTTGAAATGTTTGCGTACTATATATTTATTCCAACAGTATACAGGTTACCTAGGACGAGCGGAAATATAGTGCAATCTATATATTATAACACGGTTGGCAACCCTAACTGGTATCTTTGTGCCGATAAAACTAGAAGTATTTCCCAGAGTTGTATTAGTATAAAGTTCGATAAACCAATTTTTAGACCATATAAAGGTACAGCCTTTATATGGTACCTACCTGGGTACCTATTTGAGTAAATTTCAACTACTTATTTATACCCATATACCTTTTATGGAACATGAACTGAGAAACAAGTGCATTTGTAAACTAAGAAACTAATTTATTGAAATAAGAATATTTGGAAAGGACATACTAATATATCTTTTGTTCGATATCTAGTGACTTAATAGAATAAGGGTCTCTAAAGTAACACCATTTCAGTTGTATGAATCCGAATTCGTTAGGTATTTCTGTGACACTAGTTATATCCCGGTGTTGCAAAACAGCGTTATTAAAATGGGAATAATTTAAACTGGTG